CTAAAGCTCTCTTGGGAAATGTCAATTTAAATTTTCATTAGCAATGATTGTGAGATTCCCCTAAAGGAATTTCCTAGGAAAGAATGATAGAATGTATCTAGGTAGGCATATATGTATGTATGTTCTCACTAATACTTCACAAATGCTCCTCAACCCAGGAGCTTGATACCTTGTTTTCTTTGTAATTATAAAACAGAGTAGGTTTTAATCTAGAATTTTGTTCTAGTCAGGGAAACTAGTGGACTTCTCAAGTGACAATCTGACTTATGTGATGACTACTGAACCTTTAGATAATCTTTTTGTACCACTCCCTTTTTCTTCTAATTGTTTTCTTCCTTTGGACACTTAAGCCTTTTACTCTCTTAAGAGAGTATAACAAGATTTTCCATATGCGTCTTAGAAACTACAAAAAGTATTTTTCTCCTGGTTGTGGAAGAGAAGCTGGGAAACCTGAAGAAGCAGGCTTTGCCAGCCTCTGAAGCCCCCTGTTGTGCTGCTTTCTTAAGGAAAATAGGTCTCTGGTAAAGTCATAATTTGTTCCCTTCTAATTCTGAGCAAAAGTTTATTAGCTTGTGATTTAAGCAAACCATCTGGTCCTGCTGGCACTGCACACTGTAAAGCCCTGTGCTTTCTCCTTAATATGTTACTGGAGGCAGTTAAGTTACATATTTGAGTCCCAGCTCTGGCCTGAGCATTTCTGTGTTTTAAAACGTCTGCTTTTGAAAATTGTGCTGTGACCTGGAGTATATCTTAAAAGTGTGGAGAAATTCTTTATTGTTTTGTATGGGATTTATCTCCTCTTCTACTCAGCGGTCTTTACCTTCATTTCTCTGGCTGTACTCAGTACTGTACAGCTGCCCAGTGGTAGGCATGAAATGGAACCAAGTGGTTCTAGCTGAAAGTGTTCTCCTGGATTGTGGAAAGGTAACAGAAAATGAAGTAATTAAATTTGACTTTGAAACTGTTTCCCTGGCTTAGAACCAGAGAGCAAATCAAATGATTAGCTGGAAATCCTGGTTTATGGTGCCATTCTTGCCTTGAATACCAAAATGCTTAGAGCTTACTTGGATATATGTATAATCTGAGGCAGAAATACTTTGAGGATCTGGCACTCAAATGGATGGGAAAATTAGGCAATCTTTAAGAAAACGATTTTACTAACAGATAAAATTCTGAAAGTTAGAGATTTTTAAATTTTTTTAACAATATGTAATAGTTGTAGGTATTTATGGGGTACATGTGATATTTTGCTATATGTATACAATGTATAATGATCAAATCCAGGTAACTGAGGTATCCATCACCTCTAACATCTATTATTTCTTTGTGTTGGAAACATTCTAAATCTTCTCTTCTAGCTATTTTGAAATTGACAATAAATAATTGTTAACTCTAATCTCCCTACTGTGATATTGAACACTAGAACTTACTTTTTCTATATAACTGTATTTTTGTACCCATTACCCAACCTCCCTTCATCCCCTTCTCCTTCCTACCCTTCCCAGCCTCTGTTAACCACCATTCTATTCACTACCTCCATGAAATCAAATTTCTTCTAGCTCCCACATATGAGTGAGAGCAAGCAACATTTGTCTTTCTGTGCCTGGCTTATTTCACTTAACATAATGTTCTCCAATTCCATTCATGTTGCTACAAATGATAGGATTTCATTCTTTTTATGGCTAAGATTTGTGTGTGTGTGTATGTGTGTGCGCCGCGCACGCGTGTGTATATACATACCATGTTTCTTTTATTCATCCACTGATGGACACTTAATTTTGGCTGTTGTGAATAGTGCCACAATAAACATGGGAGTACAAATATCTGTTTGATATACTGATTTCCTTTCTTTTGGATATATACCCAGTAGTGGGATTGCTAGATCACGAGATAGTTCTATTTTTAGTTATTTAAGGAAACACTATAGCATTTTCCATAGTTGCTGTACTCGTTTACATTTTGACTAACAGTGTATGAGTGTTCTCCCTTCTCTGCATGCTTGTCAGCATTTGTTATTGTCTACTTTTTTGATAATAGCTATTTTAACTGGGATGAGATAGTATTTCATTGTGGGGGTGTTTTAGGAGTGGTTGGTGGGGTGAGACACAGTCTGTTATCCAGTCTGGAGCACAGTGCCATGATCATAGCTCACTGCAGCTGCAAACTCCTGGGCTCAGGTAATCCTCCAGAAAGGCCAGGACTACAGGTGTGCACTACAGTGCCTGGCTAATTTTTTGTAGAGATGGAGTCTTACTCTGTGGCCTAGGCTGGCCTTAAACTCCTCCTTCCTGCCTTGGCGCCTCCCAAAGTGCTCAAATTATAGGCATGAGCCACTGCGGCCAGCCAGGATTATGGTAGTTTTTCTACTGTTAAGCCAACCTTGAACTCTTGGAATACACATTTTTCCTTTTTTGTGTACATTAATTTTGGATTGGTGTGATTATGTTTAGGAACTTTTGCTGCATGTTCAGGATTGAGACAGGCCTAAGCTACTCTTTTCCCATGTTAATTTCTTTTCCCGTATTAATTTGTAAAGTTTTGATATGAAGTTATGTGAGCCTTATTAAATACATCGTTGAGTGATAGTTCCCTCTCTTTTATATTTCGGAATTGTGTCTGCAAGATTGAAACTATTTGTTCCTTTAATATTTGCCAAAAGTCACCACTATAAATCTCCGGGCTTGAAATTTGTGTGAAAAATTTTTGTTACTGACTCATTTTTCTCAAGTTTTCTTTTTCATATTTAGCTGGCTTTGCTAAGTTCAGTTTTCCTTGGCATTTGATGATTTAGTCTAAATTTTCAAATGTACTGGCAAAGATACCGGTTTATCTTTTTAACACCTGCAAGACTAGTAGTTGTGAACCCTCTATCATAAAATAAATATTGTTCATTGTGCCATTTTTCTTTTTCTCTTTTAAAAGTCTCAAGAAAGACCAGCTGCCTTTCTTAGTGTTTTCAAAGAATGAATTTTGGGCTTTGTGGATTCATTTTATAAAAGGGTGAGAGGGATTTGGTTTCCCACTCGACTATCTTGGGCTGCCTTGATCTTTTCTTTTATCCTATGAAGATACAAAACCCAATGTTCAACAGCTTATCAAGTACTTATTTTTGAATTCTCTACCTGTTGATCCCTGACCTGAGAATTTCTTACCTTTTGCCAACACATAAATGCATGTTTTATTATCTTCAATTGTTTCTGTGAAAGTTACTTCCCAGCATCAAGTCTGTCATGTTTAAAGACACATTTTACCCTTCATTCAAAACTCTTCCAAAACAAAACAAAACAAAAATTGATTAAAATATGAATAAAAGATCTGAATGAACAGTTCTCAAAAGACAACATAAAAATAGCCAATAGGGGGCCAGGGTGGTACCTCATGACTGTAATTCCCGCACTTTGGGACTAATCCTAACACTTCGGGAGGCCAGGACATGTGGATCACTTGAAGTCAGGAGTTTGAGTCCAGCCTGGCCAATGCAGGAAAACCCTGTCTCTACTAAAAATACAAAAATTAACCAGGTGTGGTGGCGCACACCTGTAACCCCAGCTACTCAGGAAGCTAAGGCGGGAGAATTGCTTGAACCAGGGAGACACAGTTTGCAATAAGCCGAGAGTATACCACTGCATTCCAGCCTGGGCAACAGAGCAAGACTTTGTCTGAAAAAAAAAAAACAAAAAGGAAAATAATTACTATAATCCACCACAGTAAAAGATGATAGAGGAAAAGTTATATGATCATCTCAAGAAATGCAGAAAATTTACCTAGCCCACTTCTGGAAGGATAAAGTAATTTAGGTGCCAAAAAAACTAAATGCATCTGCTTATTATCATTGTTTAACAGCTGTTACCAAGGTATGAAGCACTAATTTCCAAGGGTCCGTGAAACAACTTTGATTTCTTATGCTGATTTTTGACTCTAGGCTTCTCTGTTTTAGTACCACACAAATGGGTTTTACGTAGGAGTCAATGAATGGCAAATGCACCATCTCTACCTGCCCTACCCTCTACTTCTGAAAAGACTGGTTATTACCAAGATTATTTCTTGGCAATTAACAATCTAACATAAATTCTTGTAATTGATGCAGTTGGGTGTTCAATTACATTTGCTTCTGAATGAAAATGAACATGTTCATTTAAATAATTCTGATTTGGTAGCCACCTCGAGTAAGTGGAAACAACTGATAAAGTACTTACCTTACTCTCTGTTTCTTTTCCTTCTGTTTTAGCATTTTGTCTTCCTTCTCTGGTAGTTTTTTGTTTGTTGTTTTTCAAGTCTATTTCTGTCAAGGCTTTATTTATTTAGTTATTTTGTTTGTTTTAAAGCATCTGTCTCTTTTCTATCTGGATATATATATATATATGTATATACACACATACACACACACACACACTCACATACACATACATACATATATCTATTAGCTATATATTTTCTTCCTGCCGTCCTTAAAAAAGAAACCCTACCTACCTGGCTTTAGAGCAAGAAATTATCTGATTGAATTTTAGCAGTTTCTTTTAAAAGAAATTCTTCTTAATGATGTAAACAGGAAAATTTTAGTTTGGAAGACTAAAAATTATTCATGTATGTATATGGGGAATCTGTTATTAGTCAAGTTTATGTCTTTTATTTCCTAAAATCATTCTGTATATGATTCTTAAATATATATATATATATTTGTATTATTTCCATGGAAATTTCTGGATCATTTCCAAAGAACTTCCTTAGAAGGTATTGTCTGTGGCAGAGTGCGACTTCTTAAACTGATGATTTGGATGCCCTTGCATGTATTAGGTTCTTTCTGACCTAAACTGAAAAGAATTATACTGTAGGGATATTACCTGCTGTATTGATTCTTGATATGTATACACATATCTAATCCAGAAAAGGTACAGAATTTTTAATGTATTCCTGTGTCTCTTCAATTTTCTGTTAACCCAGGTCCTCTGACTTTAATTGATCAAGATGTTTTGTTTTTCTCCTTCCCATATTTATGATAGGTGGAGGAGTTACTGATGGCCATGGAGAAAGTAAAGCAGGAACTAGAATCCATGAAAGCAAAGCTGTCCTCTACCCAGCAGTCTCTGGCAGAAAAGGAAACGCACTTGACTAATCTTCGGGCAGAGAGAAGGAAACACTTAGAGGAAGTTCTGGAGATGAAGTAAGTGTTTGTAGTCTTATTCTTCAAGCACATGCTTAGTGGAAATACCTTTTTTCCCTGCATTCATCTTCTGGCTCTGTTTATTACCACAACACACTTACTTAATTTTAATGCTAACTTGTATTTCTCACTCTCTACAATAAATTTGGTCAAAGGTAGAACAAATCCTGCTCAAATAGAAAGGTGAAACCTTGTCTCTACTGAAAATAAAAGAAATTAGCCAGGCGTGGTGGCATGCACCTATAATCCCAGCTACTCAGGAGGCTGAAACAGGGGAATTGCTTGAACTGGGAAAGTGGAGGTTGCCGTGAGCTGAGATTGCACCATTGCATTCCAGCCTGGGCAACAGGGTGAGACTCCATCTCCAAAAAAAAAAAAAGAAATATATGTGACTCCTCTTTAATAAATTTCAGGTCTTCTGATATACACGTATCTGTGTATAATTACCTCTCTGAAATTCCTAAGATCTTCTGGAAAGTTCAGGCAAAATGGTGAACTTACTGGGGAAGAGGGCTGTTTGTTCTGAGGTCGTAAGAAGACTAGGCAATTTTTAAACACATTTTTTATTGTAACTATTTCCAAAGATACACACAAGTAGAGAGAATGAACTCCCATATACCTATCTCTGAGATTCAGCAGTTAACATTTTGCCACACTGGAAGCAAATTTTTAGAAAATTGTCACTTTTAGCAAAACTTTGCTATACAACATTTTCCTACTTCCCCCACATTTTATAGGTTGCTGAGACTATAATCTGTTGTGAAGGATGTATACATTTGATCATACATAATAGATGTTTCTTTTTCTTCTCAGTGACCTTCTGTTTAAAACAAACATGCCTCTTTTGAATATCCAGTTGTACTCTCTTATTTGCCATTCGTAAAACTTCCCCTTACCTAAAGGCCCTACTCTTATTTTACTGAAACCAGGTCTATCCTGGGATCCCTCAGCTTTGTTATGTCAGCACTATCTTTATTTTTGTTGTCTTCTTTTCTGTCTCAGAGGAGAGGTTTTTTTCTTCTTCATAAGGCCAGATTCTTCTGTCACAGATTTTAAGTTCCCACCTGAGCAGCTTTTCACTGTCAGTATCTCTCTCACATAATCCTTGCTCACTTCTCTTCATAAATACACAGTCTGTCTTTGGCCTAAAATAAATTTTTTCACTCCAGTAGTGCTGTAAACTGACATCAGTTTACTTTTCTGCTACGAGCTGTCAATAAACTTTGAATACCTGAATAATAGAGCAGTAGAGGATCTCGCCATGATACTCTGTTCATGAATTCTCATGGGACACGATGATTGTGATATTGTGACTGCAGCCTAAGAATGTTGATGTGTCCTCTGTGCGTACAGGTTCCTGGGCTACAGGGCAAGGCTAAGAGATTCTTTCCTTTTAGAAAAGCATTGCCGGTAATATGTCTTGGCAGTAATGAGTAAGTGAAGCCAGAAGTGGATTGTTATACGGGAGAATTCGGAGACGTTAGAGTTCTGCGTAGCATCATGAGAAAAAAGCTTGCAAATTTCAGAGGAGAAAAGAAAGTCCTCCCTATGACTATTGGCAGTGACACTAGATTCCTCACTCTGTAGTCATTGCAGGATCCTCCATATTTTAAAGGTTTAAAATATTCATTTATTGATAATTGAACAAGCAAAAAGACTTCTCTTCCTAGAGTTCTCTACTTAGAGAACTTAAGAGGTAGAAATATGAGGGGAATGAAATGTGCAGGGAGACTGAAATATGCATATGTGTGACTCTGGATCTAGAATAAGAAATAGTCTTCCCTGAGGAAAAGGTAGTTGGCCCTTTTGTATAGAAAATTCTTCAGCAAAGCACTAGAATAGCCTTGTTTTCTAGAATAATCCTGACCTCATCAAGCCAAGAGAAATGAATTAATAGTTATTTTCCATTTCTAGCATATATTATTGTAATTTTTGAACGTCTGTTACAGATAAATGGTGACCATGAGTTTGGGGAAACGTAAAACGGTTCACTTGGTAGCCTGCCAGTGGTGCATTAGAAACATTTGTGTTGGTTAGTCAGCCCTGAAGAGAAGGAACATTTTTACTGGCAGATCCACAGTGGTTCTTTTCCTTATGCTGTGGTTTTGTTAACCATTACTTTTTTATTCCACTTTTATGTTAGCCTTTTTCCCTTAAGAAAGAAGGATAAAAGGGAGCAGGGGAAAAATAATAAAATAACAACTCTAATAACTGTAATAAATTTTAAGTATCAGTTAAGGTCATGAGGTTCACCATTAAGAATTCTAGATGAGCTAGTTCATTTGACACTGCCCTGCATCCAAACTCCTCCTGCAGTCCCACCCTATATTAGCATTCAGAATAAAGTTTACAAGATCCATTTTGTATTTTTAATAAAATTTTTATTAAGCTATGAATTTGACTGCCCTGAAAACTGGTTTGTTCAGGGAAGGGGTGATAGAGCTCTTTGGCTTCACTGAGAGTTGAGAGCTATTCAATAGGTAACCTTCTATATGCAGGCAGTTCCTATATGACTTCATTCAAAGAATGAAACAAATGAGTAAGAGTTAAACAAATCATTATACTGATTGGGAGCTTAAAAATAAATAAATATCATTTAAAAGGTAATGTCAACACAGATGAAAAAGGAAAAATATTAGAATCTCCTGGACTGACTAGACAGACATGTTTAGAAGACTGGTCTTCTCTGGAAACAAGTAAAGCTGGCACAGAAATCCAAATATCTGTGTGTTAAATTATATACTCATTAGATGCTTTTTGGCTAAGAAAAGGTCTCCCACATCCAGAGAATACTTTTCCTATGTACCTAAGAACAGTCCAGTACTCTCATCTGAATTCTGACATTTAAAATATTTTTGACTGTTAGGAGAGAAAAGTAGAGTACAATTACGATTAAGAGAGCTATTAACAGGCTGGGGCGGTGGCTTATGCCTATAATCCCAGTACTTTGGAAGGCCGCGGATTACCCGAGGTCAGGAGTTCGAGACCAGCCTGGCCAACATGGTGAAACCCCATCTCTACTAAAAATACAAAATTGGCCAGGCATGGTGGCAGGCACTTGTAGTCCTAGCTACTCAGGAGGCTGAGGCAGGAGATCTCTTGAACCTGGGAGGCAGAGGTTGCCGTGACCCAAGATCATGTCACTGTACCCCAGCTCAGGTGACAGAGCGAGACTCCATCTCCAAAAAAGAAAGAAAGAAACAGAGCTGTAAAACGTAGCTACTGGAAAATGTTCAGGCTATTTGGGAAGAGTTATAGTTGGGTGATCACTCTGTTATGCTTCAAATAATTAAAATGAAACTTATTTTGAGTTTTTTTATCTTCTGATATCCTGTAGTATTTTATTTAAAAAATTTTTGGCCAGGTGTGGTGGCTCATACCTGTAATCCCACCACTTCAGGAGGCGGAGGCCGGTGGATCACCTGAGGTCAGGAGTTTGAGACCTTCCTGGCCAAAATGGTGAAACCCTGTCTCTACTAAAAAATACAAAAAATTAACCAGGCTTGGTGGCATGCACCTGTAATCCCAGCTACTCGGGAGGCTGAGGCAGGAGAATCACTTGAAACCAAGAGGCAGAAGTTGCAGTGAGTCAAGATCGCACCATTGCACTTCAGCCTATGCAACAAGAGTGAAACTCTATCTCAAAAAAAAAAAAAAATTTGTAGGGTTGCTGACATTCAAAAAAAATCTCATTGGGGATTTATGACATAGTATTCCAGATTAGCCACAAAATTGTAAATAGTTATTCAAATTATATCCTAGTAACAATTTATGGGGGAAATAAAAGTGAAAATGCATTCTGAGTTATATAAGAGCATGTAAACTCATTACAAAGCCATATTTATTTATACTTCCACCAAAAGACATCTTTTTAAGTCCCAAGACATATGATAAAGAACTTTTAGTGGACTTTTTTCTAGCATTTTTCACAGTAGGCTAGCATTTTTTCTAGCATTTTTCACAGTAGGCTAGAATACTAAGGTTAAATATTCTGTAGGAAACCCACATAAATTAATATAAAATTATTTTATACTTGAAAAAGAAAACAAAATATATTGTAAGTATAGCTCTAAACAAATAGCATGATTAGATCTGGGCTAGTTAAAATTATAAAACAAAGTTTATATCTACAATCAACTATCCCTTGGGACTCCTCAGTTTTGCTGAACTCTCTCATTCTGCTCCTCTTTTTTCTGCCCTGATACTCAGTGCTCTTATGTGGCCCACCCTATAGAAATTTTTTTACTTTCTTGTGACCTGGACTGGAATAAATTACAAATAACCTTAAAGGTTCCTTGCCTTTCTTCTTCTTCTTCTTTAAATTTTAAACTTAATCCACATTTTACCTTTTTAAGGTCAGACATAACTTCCAAATAGAAGAAACCACATTTAAAAAAAAAAATACATGCTTCCTAATGTTCTTTTTTTTTGGGGGGGGGGTGCGGACAGAACCTCACTCTGTCACCCAGGCTGGAGTGCAATGGCACGATCTCTGCTCACTGTAACCTCTGAGTTCAAGCGATTCTCCTGCCTCAGCCTCCTGAGTAGTTGGAATTACAGGTGTGTGCCACCATGCCTGGCTAAATTCTTATATTTTTAGTAGAGATGGGGTTTCACCATGTTGTCAGGCTGGTCTTGAACTCCTGACCTTGTGATCTGCCCACCTCAGCCTCTTAAAGTGCTGGGATTACAGGCATGTGTTACCACGTCTGGTCCCTAATGATATTTTTATGTAAAAAACCTCAAGTGGCTAGAATAAGGTCTAAATAGCAAATAAAGAACTAAACTTTTCAGATAAAGGTCCCCAAAGTCCCTTTTGTTTTCAGCTTTCAAAATTCTTTCTCTCCCTCTGTCAATATATGGTTCACATGTAAAAATGTGCTTACCTGTGTAGGGATGAAATGAAGAATGTCTGTCATCTCCTCTTCGCAAGAGGAAGCAAGTGAGATTATTGTCCTACTTTTTCCTTATCTTTTCCTTTTTTCTCTGCTGGAGTTACA